AGAACACATTATTATGATTTGGCTGTATCTGATATAAAAGATGTTGTTGCTGTGCTGGGCTAATGCCAAAGTGCGACCCAGACTAGAGACAGTATTAGCTTGATGCATCTTAGCCTCATTATGCAGCTACAATGTAGGATATGAGATATATGACTTCATCGTACCACAAATTAGGAGAGATAGAAGGTCAATGTTGCGTCTGTGGATTTAATGCTCTGAAAGTGGTTCGAATAAACACAGATGTTTTTTTGACTCACCCTCGGCTGTTTGACTCCTTGCACAAACAGCTTTCTTTTTCTACTCCATCTCCCTGCAGAATGCATTTCCCCCCGCCCCCGCCCTCCATTCACCTCTCCGTTTGTTTTGCATAGCAGTTTCTGTCAGCCGAAAAAAAAAAATCTGCATCCATTTTCTAATGTTGAAAATGTTGTACAAATGTTTTTGATTGTAATCATTAAAAGCAAAAAGTGGTTATGTACCCCCTGCCCGGACCTGAGTTATTACTACGGCCACAATGGTTGAGTGTTTTTTGATGACTGTGGTTTTGTACCTTCTGTGAATCGGTCCAAATAATAGCATAACATAATAATAACATAATAACTGTAGACATTTAGACACAAACATATCTGTTGACTCCAGGTCTAAAACCAGGATCTCTCCGTCCTCCCACTTCCTCCATTGTTAATTCCAATATTTTGTCCTTAATTGGATAAGTGCATGAAAAAGTTCCAGTAACTTTTTATCTGTTTAATTTATAGTTTGTTTATAAAAGAAGGAATAAAAATCTATGAGGAGTCCACCGTGGAGACAGAAGAGAACACCTTGGTTTCTAAAATAAAAGACTGGATGATGCTTCATGTGACGTCTGTTTTTAGGAGACCTCTGCCAAAGGTCATACACCGCTGTCAAAGGTCATACACATTCAAAACATGAGGCCATCATCTCTGAGGCAAGTCAATTTATTACCATTTCAACAGGATCTCAGCCACTCCTCTCTTTCTCTCGCTCTCTTTCTCGTTTTTCCACATTCTCTCTGCTCCGTCTACTGCCTCTGTTTTTTTCTCCTCTGAGTATCAGATGAAGTTCACCCCAGAGATAGTCAACAGTTTACAGGGTGAATCACTTGCTCACGTCAACCTGACCTTCGTCTTTAAGCAGACTCTGGGAACGTGTTGCACATGTCTTCAGTGCAACACGTTATGTCAATGAAGGCGTTTGTCTTCAGCATTTCACAGTCTGCCAAAGTCATGCACTTCTGGTATTGGGCATCTGGAAAAGAAAACAAGGATACATGGATTAAACTAAAATATTGTCCATTAATAATCCAGGCAGCAGGTTAATGGAACAGTATTGACTTGTCATGATTTAAATAGATTATCAACAATAACGCCCATTTATGCTGTTAAAAAATCTGCTGCTTTGGTGCAGCAGTTTATAACATTGGTGTTCAACCTGTGGCTCCCAAACCACATACAGCTCTTTAACCTCTGCATTGTCTCCCTGCAACATCACACAGCACTGAACATTTGCATAACACCAACCAGTATTGTATTGTTTATATACTGCAATACTATGGACTATAGTATAACTACTACTGTAGTTTTAACTATACTATAATATGCAGTATAACTTTTTCATATAAAACTTTGTCTGCTATTATTCCATTATTAAAATTGTGTAAATGTATTTTTGGCTCTTGTTGATTTTTATTTGGTTGTGAAATAATAAAACTGTCTCCTTTGGTGTTCCAGGCTCCAGGCTCCAGGCTCCAGGCTCCAGGTTTCAGGACTGTACTGTCTTTACTGCGGTTTGGGTGCACCCACTCCCGTGTCCCTGCAGGTGTCGATGATTCAAAGGTTTCTGTGAGTATACAGTAGGAAGAGACTCACTCGGTGGTGTGAGGAACTTGGCAGCAGCACAGGCGTCCTTCTCTGGTTTGCACGTCTCCACACTGCGCTCACAGGCTCCTCCAGCCTTTCTAGACACACAGCGGATACAGTCCAGCGCTTCACCTGAGAAAAGGAAAGAGACAAGAATGAACTTTTTATATCTTTTTTTTTTTTGGTCCATCTTACTCTGTTTTATCAATGAGATACATTTTTGTTTGGCCCACAAATCTGTACAACACAGCAACATGTTGTCTCTTAATTATGACAGTGTCTGTGCTCCTGTGCAGGAGCTGAAAGCACATTTCCTTGTTGCGCAGCAGCTGTGGTGGAGTTTGTTCAGTGGAGAATCAGTGACAGACTCACCAGCTGTAAACAGCAGGGTGATGCTTAGAGCCAAGACCAACAGCTTCATTGTTCTCTTCATCTGTGCAGCCTGTGGGAGTTAAAGCACACAATTTATTACGTAAGGTAAACCAGGGGTCCTTGTAGGGACCAGCCATTACAGTCGTATTTGAATTATAGTTTTCATTTAACGCAAACTGGATAAAAGTGCTGTCTTATTTTCTCAATAATTAATTATATGCCTAACGCAAAATAATTTCAGGGATGCTAGCTAACTGGTTAACAGAACAGGAACAGGTCTTTGCATTGAAATGTAAACCACCAGAGGTCCAGGGGCCCCTAATTGAGAACCATTGCTTTTACCACTACATAGTAGTACTTAAGTGAGAAATATCTTATAAATTGTATTTTAATTTAAATAGAAACTTTGAGAAAGTCTTAGCTAATTTTAAGGGGTTATTGAAACATATTGAGAAGAATCACTTGTCAGACTGAGCATTACAGTAAGAATCAGAAGAAAACCTACCTGCCTGACTTCTCTGTCTTGGTTTCTGCCAATGACTGGTGGCTATTGATTGAATTTCCCTCCTTTTATACCACTTCATACTTTGCCCTGTCATGGTAATGTCCCTTTAAGTGCTACATCTCGGTTAAGTCAATATGCTTAGCCTCCCACAAACCTTGAGTGTGCTGTGTTCCAGGGTCATAGTCTGCCGGTGTTTAGATTCCTGCATTATGCAACACTTGTCCACCCTGTGTCCACTGCTGAGTCAAATTGCTCTTTAATGCTTGTGTTTATCAAAGACTTATTTTTAAAAAGAATTACTAATGAGATGTCGGCTCCCAGAGGACACAGGCGTGACTCACAGGTCCAGGGTGTTTGCTGTAGGTGGTGGAGGTCTGACATGTACAGTAACCGAAGTGATTAGACGTCCATAACAAATATCTGCCTCGGAGAACAAAGAAGGCTAAGGAATCAAAATGGTGGACTTTGGATTACAGCAGCACAAAAAAAGAAAAAAGTGTCTTGAAAGTTTACTGGTTAATGAAATATAGAAGTATTAAAAGCGGCACCACAATAGACTGACATTTCCTTCCATTGGAGTAATTCATTAGTTATATAATAAGATTTCTGAATGCTGTCTGAAAACAAATATTGGTTCTGTACAGTAATGTTTGACATGAATTATGTTTGAGGTTTGCATTTGCCATTTGGTAACTAGGTTTACTGGAAGCTCTCTATGAGTGGTCCTAAAAAGGTGGCCCGGGGTCTGTCCCGGGCTCGCAAGTCATCTTTTTGAGGACCGCAACCTCAATACTTAAAAGGAGGCTATTTTCTCTCCTTCTGTGCAGTTTGAGAGAAGCACCTGTTTCTCAGACTTCAACCTGCACTTTCCCAAACTGTTGAAAAATATCTTTGTGGACCTGTGGATACTTGTTCTAAATTGATCATTGGTCTGAGTATGAAGTGAATCAATAATGTGTGAATCTGATGATGGACTGTGGACCTTTCTCCGCCCACATCTGTTCTCAGCTGGGATTGGCTCCAATATCTCATGACCCTGAAGTCTGCTCTCTGTTTCATCTATCTTTAGATCATCTCTCCTCCTGCTCTAAGTTCTAGTGCTGTTTGTGTCAGATGTTGACTGTGAGCGTCAGAGGTTAGGATCTGCACTGACCCTGGGATTCTCCTTGGATTATTAGATTATTATTTCTCCCTCAGGCAGTGACTCCTGTAGCATCAGCAAAACACAGACATGGAAGATTTTGGAAAACAACTGGTACTGCTCCGATTTAGTGCATCAGAACTTTCAAAAACGAAGGAAAGTTTTAACGTTTTCTTTGCCCATATTTTATGGCAAAGGGAAAACAGCAAGAAGAAGAATAGATATTTTATAGTCCTTTTACCTTTTTCTGTGCCTGGGTGTTGCTGCTCCATGGGATCCAACCTTGCAACCCTGCCGTCACTGATCCTGCCCCAAACACTAACCCGTGTTTTAATTTTGCTGTGAAGAATCCCCATAAAATCATGAAATAAAGTTGTAATCACACAATTCCCTTAATCGTATTTCACCCTCTAATACTGAAACCCCATTCCTAACCATCGTTTTTCACTGGAGCATTGGCTACAGGCTATGATTTGGTAATTGCTTTCTATTATACTCCATAAGTACAAAACCCTAAGTGCTGTACTTTGGCTCATACTAATGGCTCCATTACTAGATTATGAGGTATTCTGAAAACCACTTTGTGCAGATTATCACATAGATAGACGGGCATTTTATTTATCCGGGAAGGAAATTAAAATGTTTTGTCAGTAAAAATAAACACATGGCTATTGAAGCTACGACGCCAAATGCTGTGATTAAAATTTGATAAGTCACTCAGTCATTTATTGCTCTTTCTCGCCATATGAATTAATGTTTGGCAGTCAAAAAGTAAACAAAAGTTACTCTGCAAATACATTCACAGTGTATAAATCACTAGAGAAGGCCTCATATTGCAGAGGCTGAAGTGCAGCATCTGCACCTGCCCCCGGGGAGCTCTGCTACCACCTAGTGTCATTAATCCATTTTAGTGCGGCCAAAGGCAATTCACATAAAACAAATACACCAGTTGGGAGAACCCGAAGAGGAGAAACAGACTTTTTAAACTACTTACACAATTAATCTTGATGTGATTTATTTATAGTGTCACTAATCTAAATAAATTTCATGCACAAATGCAAACAGCTGTCCAACCATCCATCCATCCACACACGCATGCATCAATATATCAATCATACATCCATCCAACCACCTGTGCATCATCCATCCATCCGTCTACCTGTCCATCCTTCTGTTTATCCAGAGGTTCTCCACCTATTTGTTATCATGTTTAGGTGAGAACAAAAAGATGGTTTTACCTTTTAAAAGTTAAAACACTTTTTGAACATGTTTTTCCTCTAGGTTCTGCGTCTACTGTACATATCAGTCAATCTGAACATTATAGATGTAAAGACAAACACAGACAACAGGGTAAACTATTGCACCATTTTGCTGCATGGTCTCCTACTTTGGGGAATGTCACACTGTGGTGGTGGTGGTGTGGACCTTTAATGATGACTCCATGAGCTTTCTTTTCTGCAGCCGTCATGACAACAGAATATCCGTCTTTACAAGGTTTCGCTCAAAACCCCTATTAAGTTACAAGGTCAATGTAGGATCGCCTAATAAGGAAACGCTTTGTCTTGAGTTGCACTCAACGCCACTAGTTTAACAGCGATTACCTATAGCTAACCTTATTCCTGGGCCATTTACTGCATGAATTGGCTGAGTGTCACCAACACGCCATTAGTCTGGATGTCAGAGACAAGAAAGAGAGAGGGACCTCTGAGCGAGGCCTAATGGCATTTTAACGATGTCACTGTTGATTTTCTGTGATAATGAAATCCATCATTTTGCACAAAGGAAAAGTGTGCTGTAATTGCTAAGAAGAAACTTTGCATTGAGTGACTTTATGACAGACATTTTTTCACATTAGAAACTTACTTGCCTCAGATACTGCCACGTACTGACACGTCGTAAGTTTATTAAATAACCCACACTTCACAATTACCGTTTAAGGACATGTGGTACAATAGGGAATACACCAGCCTTTTATTATCATTACAATAAAGAAACTGTTATTTATCTACTTTGGGCTAATGTATAAACTATAAACTATAAAACTTGGGTTATTGAACTGTTCCCACTTCAAAATGGATGTACACACAGAATGCATTGGAAAATTATTTAAACTCTCATTTCTGATATTAAAAAAATGATATCTAAGACAAAAAAAGCAAGACAAAAATACCATATTAAAATTATGTTACATCGCAGGTAACTACATGTAATAACTACTATTATAAAGAATTTAATTAATTACAATTTATTGTTATTTAAATAAATTAGATCAATGTGCCACAGTACTAAGCTATTTAAATAGCACATTAGTACTTAATAATAGCACATTATAACTTAAATGTGTGCTAAATGAAAACTTTTCTTTTTAAAATCACAGTCCCTGCAGTATTTCCACGATCCGCCAAGTGGTCGCGAACCCCCTGTTGGAGACTGTTGATTTGGACTAAACTGCCTGAATAGAATGCGACTACATTAAAAGAGTTTGTTGTATGGTGTGGCCATTTTTAAATTAACTATATGTTACAAAAAATGATTCAAATGTTTTTAATGTTTTATAGTACAATAAGACCACAGAGTATTTTTTAATTAAAAAAACGTAGATAAGCTAAAAGTGGGATTTTTTAATTAAAAAAAACGTAGATAAGCTAAAAGTGGGGAGGAAAACACCAAGAGTGACGACAGAAAAGTGCAAGTGTTGTGTTTTTATCGGCTGGGAGCAAAAGACTAATGTCGCAGTGTGTAGAGCACACACCTTCAACCAACACCACATACTTGTTCAATTGCTATTTGTATGATAAAGTAAGACGACACCGAAGAACACGGAACTAAAATAAAGCCAAATCAGGCTCGTGTGTGTCTGTGCGGTGTCGCGTTAAGGTCACTTCGCTGGCTGCCTGAATTCCCCTCTTTGTGTTTACACATCCGGGTTTCCCTGTTTGCAGCCCATTCCCCCATTTAGAAGCCATTTTGGACATAGATCAGTAACATACATATAAACCCCGACCGACCTCCCAACGCGTCGGCGCTACTATTCCAAGTGGATAAGCTTTAAAATAGCAGCGGCTCGCAGTCTTGGATGGTTGCGAGGCACCACGTTCGACGTTTGGGTAGTGTTTCCGATGCGAAACGCGGCACAGAACAGCGGACGAACAGGCAGGCAGTCAATTAATTGCTCCCGTCTTTTCGCGGCCACTGACACGCGCTGTGGTGGAGAAGGTGCTGCTGCTGCTGCTGCTGCTGCTGCTGCTGCTGCTGCTGCTGCTGCTGCTGCTGCTGCTGCTGCTGCTGCTGCTGCTGCTGCTGCTGCTGCTGCTGCTGCTGCTGCTGCTGCTGCTGCTGCTGCTGCTGCTGCTGCTGCTGCTGCTGCTGCTGCTGCTGCTGCTGCTGCTGCTGCTGCTGCTGCTGCTGCTGCTGCTGCTGCTGCTGCTGCTGCTGCTGCTGCTGCTGCTGCTGCTGCTGCTGCTGCTGCTGCTGCTGCTGCTGCTGCTGCTGCTGCTGCTGCTGCTGCTGCTGCTGGTTGTGGTGCTGCTTAAACTCAGCTGAAGCACCAAAGGCCTGTGCGTGTTCCGACCCCGGACTAATGTTTTAGGACGAGCGGAGTTTTCATGTTGGCGGCGGAACGCGCGGTGAAGACTGTGTGTACTGTATTTAAAACGGAACATGTCTTTTTCATGGCTGACTTGTTCACTTCTTCTGGGAACTTTGTGCGCAGGTAAGCAGTTATTATGGCTCGGGGAATTGCAACAGTGTTGTAGGCTTTTTGTTTTATGATTGCTATTTTGCCAAAAAAAAAGAAAAGAAAAAAAGACGCGTTTGTAAGGTGTGTATTTGTGTCGCGTTGTAAAGTTTGTTAGCACCGGATGCTAACCGTTTATCTGGAAGGCTTTTTATCCTGCTTCCCCTAATCGCCTTTTCTCCTTTTTGTAAACACGTTGTTTTTCAAGTCTTAAATTATTTGAGTAGCTGTATGTGCTGTCTATATATATATTTTATAAATTACAGTGGGTTTAGTGTTTGTTTTTGTAAACCCCGATAAACAAATAACAGTCCGAATTTATAACACTCGCGTCCCCTCGCCATTATCACTGGTGGCAGGAATAGAAGGCAGCAGCTGCATCAACATCCTGAAACCTTAGAGGCTACAATTCAGCTCTGCACTCCTGTTTTGTGGTCAGAGCCTAAACCAGACCCTCACTTCTCCTACTCTTGTCTTTATTTGTTTTGTCCTGATTAGTTTTTATCAGTGACGCTCGATAGGAACACCAGAGGTCAGCTTTCTAGCTTTGCTGTCACCTCTACAACTCCCGATTGTTGAACTCGATACTCTGCAAAACGTTAAATCCAGCCTGTGTTTTTCTTTTTTTTTGTTTTTTTTGTTTTTTTATTTCATGTGAGATATCGTCACACCAATAAATTCAGCCCTCAGCATTTACATTATACTCATGGACACACACACACATGTGCACCTCCTTGCACTTTAAAGTTCGTGTTTTTCCCCTCCAACTGTAATAAAAAATTAATTGAGGCACAGCTGTCTCCTGTGTACCAGATAGCAGCGCAGCTAATGCATTTATGGTTTATAGATTACCACTCTGGAGGGGAGGCTGTGTAGTAAGCTGCTTCTCCAGAATTCACGTTGTTGTGGTATAAGCCTCTGTTAAGTGACAGAGGGAGGGGGTTGGGTAATGATCGTGTAGTAAAAGTCCTCCCGGATCATGTGACTGCTGATATCAGAAATGCCATCTCCACTCAATGGTTCACTGAACACCACCGTTCTGTATTTGTGCCTTTCTACACCCTCCCGTCACGATGTTCGGTCACTACATGCACCCGTGGTTTTGTTTTGTTTTTTTGTTTGGGGGAGGGGGGGTGTATGCAATAATGAAGGCCATTTTACTCTGCTGGACAACCAAATGCACGTATGTTTAAACGGATGTGTCCGTGAGAGTAAGTGTGTAATGGGTTGGTGGGGCAACTAGGGGGATGGGCAGCCTCTCATAGGCATGGGTTTAAAGAGACAGACACTATTTTTTTTTCCTCTCTGAACAAAGATTAGGCATGAATGTCCAGAGGATGTTGTGAATGACATGCACAAAACGTGTTATCTGCTTCAGTGTTAATGAAATCTGTTGTCTTGTCCCGCCTCTCCATGGTTCCTATGTTCATCCATTAGCAAAACAACAAAACACTTCCTCAAAGGAATTCCACTTCAGGACTGTTTTTTTTTTGTGAAAACATTCCGGCTTGGTTTCCCCTCAAAGCAAGACTCTCTTATCGGCCTTTCCAGATGTGATGCTCTCTAAGGGAATGCTATCTGTAGACGTGACGTTCCTCCGTGTACGGTGGTTCTACGTCAGTGTTGTCTTGCTAATTTAATTTCATAATTTTCCTGTAAAATGATTACTAAGCAGTAAAGTCTGTGGGAACTCCCTTTTTTACTACAGTGTCTTCCCAAACCTGGCCATGTGCCACAGCGATGATGGAAGCTGTACTCAGAGAGGCTTCTTTGTGGCACAGAGCGGATCATATGGCATATGTCTGCACTTTTATCACTATCACTTTTAATTTATGACAGTGTGATCTCACCCCAGCCTTTCTGTCCATTTCAGGGTACAGTCTGGGCGAGGCAGAGACCCGGGAGTGTGTCTACTACAATGACAACTGGCGCACAGAGAAGACCAACCAAAGTGGTTTTGAGCGCTGCGAGGCTGATAAGGACAAGCGGCAGCACTGTTATGCCTCCTGGCTAAACTCCTCAGGGACCATCAAGTTGGTAAAAAAAGGCTGTTGGCTGGACGACTTCAACTGCTACGACAGGTTGGATCCCCCCCCCACAACTTTAGATTAAGTTTTAGAAAATGCGGTACACCCAGCATGGCTCCACTTAATTCATTCAGGAAATAAACGGACCAATTTAGAAAGTCATAATTACTGTGTGATTATTACTGTTTTTACCAGCACCTGCAGTTATACACAGTCTCTTTGGTGGTAACGGAACAGGAATTATTAGTTTGTAGAGTTTACACCACTCTTAACATGAAAGTTATTGAGTTTCTGTGAAAAGAGTATTTTAAAACCAGGCTGGAATTTGTTGAATACTGATTTAATGACATTTAATTTAAGTCTCTCAGTAAGAATGTTGATGATCAACATGTGACTACATTAAACCAAAAGCTGATTTATTTTTTTGTTAAGCTTTGCCTCAATAACATGTACAGTTTATTCAGATTATAGTTTCAGCTGCAGCTGCTAATGTGACGGACAGTTTTCCAGAGAAATTGCTTCAGCTGTAATTACAAACGTAGTGGGAATCTGATGGGACCCGGAAAAGTAAATCTACTCCTGGTCAATTTAATCTCAGTGAAAGGCTCAATAAAATGGTGGCTGAAAATAGCAGGTGGGCAATGTTGAGTGGGTTAAAAGTGTCGTGGTGATTTGATTTATGTGTTCTTTTTTTTTTTAAAGGCAAGAGTGTGTGTCTATGGAGGAAAACCCTCAGGTCTTCTTCTGCTGCTGTGAGGGCAACTACTGCAATGAGCGATTTACTCACCTTCCAGACATCATTGATGGCGGCAACCGAGGTGCACATCCAGAAAATGTGTTCAGTTTTTCTGGTTGGATTGGATTTTGTATTAAGCTTTTCTAACACAGCAGCGGATAACGTGTTGTTTCTTGACAGTAAAAATCCGTCCTCCTCCCCGAGTGCCCTCTCTGCTCAACGTGCTGGTGTACTCCCTGCTGCCTCTGTGTGTCCTGTCCCTGGCCCTGGTTCTGGCCTTGTGGATGTACCGCCACCGCAAACCTCCGTATGGTCATGTGGATCTCAGTGAGGTAAGTCGAGCCACGCTGACTTTTGTTTTTTTCATGAGGCGGTTGTCTCTCACACTCTTAAAGAGTTCCTAGACTCTTTCATTTTTTTAATATAATTTTTCTTAATTTCCTTTGTTAACTAGGATCCTGGCCCCACACCTCCATCGCCCTTGGTTGGCCTGAAACCTCTGCAGCTGCTAGAAATTAAAGCTAGGGGGCGCTTTGGTTGTGTTTGGAAGGCCCAGTTGATGAGTGAATATGTGGCGGTGAAGATCTTCCCTGTTCAGGTACAGTGGTGGTTTTAAACACTGACTTGTAGCCATTTCTAATTAACATACATAATTCAGGTAATCTGGATGATGTATGTCAGGGATGGAATCCATTTTTTGCCAAGTAACGTGCAAGACAAACATCACTGAAAGTGTAACTCTGTTGTTGCGGTGTGTGTCTGTGCAGGATAAGGACTCGTGGCAGAACGAGCGAGACATTTTCATGACCCCGGGAATGCGTCACGAAAACCTACTGCGTTACATTGCGGCAGAAAAGCACGGAAGCAACCTGGAGACGGAGCTGTGGCTCATCACAGAGTTCCACGAGCGGGTGAGAGCACATTTACTCTCCCCATGTGTCACACGCCTCACATACACCTTCAGACACCTTCATATACAGTACCCTCATATACAGTACCTTCATAAAGCACCTTCAGAGTCGGCTGCTGGGCTGAACTGCTCTCCAATATTGGCAGTGGCTTATGTTTATCTAAACAAAATTGAAGACAGAGTGTTATTAGTTATGGCAGGTTTGCAGTGCACAGTCTGCCTTAAGCAGATAATACAGTGGTGCTTGGATTCAGAAAGAAAGTAAGGCGACAATTCATGTCAAACAGCACTAATTCTGAAGTGACTAATTTCACGTAGTGTAATTAGAAGAACGGCAGAACATTCTGCTAATTACTCTTATCTTTGACAGCAAATGCTGAAACAGTAAGTTAGACGGTAGAAACATTTACGTTGGTGTGAAGCCAGTGAGGCATTTTGATTTGCAGACATGACGTCATCTGACGTTCGACAAAGTACATGAGATGCTAGTTAAATGAATGACATGCTAAACATTTGCACCAATCTTGTGCCGTAAAAAGTGAAGATCCTATCATGTCTCAGTCTCCGGGGTTCAGTTTACCAATATAACCAACATCTGAGCTTGTTATGGGCCATAGGTTTGTCGACTGGAACAAACACTTTATTCTTTCAACTGAAAACGAATACCAGGCTCCTCTGCCCTTCTTAATCCTTAATCTAAATCTTGCTTTTTGGCAGGGCTCGCTGACGGATCACCTGAAGGGCAACACTGTGACCTGGAACGAACTGTGCCACATAGCAGAGAGCATGTCCCGCGGCCTGGCCTACCTCCACGAGGACGTTCCCAGCTACAAGGGGGAAGGGCCTAAACCCACGATTGCTCACAGGTAGGAGAAGCGTGGTCTCAGATAAGATAAGATTTTTTTATTAGCCCCACTGTGGGGAAATTCCCAGTCTTTGGGTCGTTTGTTGATGTTATTGGGTTGTTGTGACGTCTTTGTTCTAATTTTTAAAGGGACTTCAAGAGCAAGAATGTGATGCTTTGCAATGATTTGACTGCGATCATCGGAGACTTTGGGCTGGCCGTGCGATTTGAACCAGGCAAACCTCCTGGAGACACTCACGGCCAGGTACAGATGAGCCTGGCTGTATTTTTTATCTTACAGAGTTCATGCAGTTTATACAGTTGTTGTATTCTGCACTTGGAGGAATATAAAAATAATAGGAATCAATGTGTCCCTACAGGTGGGTACGAGGCGTTACATGGCTCCAGAGGTGTTGGAGGGGGCAATCAACTTTCAGCGAGACTCCTTCTTGAGAATAGACATGTACGCCATGGGTCTGGTGCTTTGGGAGCTGCTGTCACGTTGCACAGAGGTTGATGGTGAGTCAAAGACCCGCTGACTCATTAATAATAATAGTTAGTCAGAAATACCAGTACAGGTTAAAGTGGCTTTTATTTGACTTAGACTTAAAAAATGTTTTTTGTTTTTTTTTCATTTTGTGAACTCCTTGCCTCACTTCAGGTACAGTTGGTGAGTACATGCTGCCGTTTGAGGAGGAAATTGGCCAACATCCCTCCCTGGAGGACCTGCAGGATGTGGTTGTGCACAAAAAGATGCGTCCAGTCCTCAAAGAGTGCTGGCTCAAACATCCTGTGAGTAAACATTCAGGAAAAGGATCCCATCCCTGGATTCAGTTTCTGGATGTTAAGCATTTGTTTTTTCTGTAAATGTGACTCCCATCGTGTTGGGTCATGTTCCACGAACCATTAGCCATTTTGCCCAAGAAAAAGTCTGTGCCTCGCCAACGCCTTAACCTATTGTATTCTTTCACTTTCTGCAGGGTTTGAACCAAATGTGTGAAACCATTGAGGAATGCTGGGACCACGATGCGGAGGCACGGTTGTCTGCCGGCTGCGTTGAGGAGCGCATCAGCCAAATTGCCAGGATTATAAGCAGCACTACCTCAGACGGCCCCGTCTGCATCGTGACGTCTCTCACCAACGAGGACCTACCTCCTAAAGACTCCAGCACCTAATGGGGTGACGCCACCTTTCACTATTCAAGGACGAACTCAGCGGATCTCCGTGAATATTTAAAAGAAAAACTCTAAACAGAAACAACAGCGACTTGAATGCAGCTGCTATTTTATCCCAATACTGGTATTTTGTTTTTCTCTCTTCTTTTTGTCTCAAATGTTTCAGTGTTTTAAAGTCCAATCCTACTAACACACATCCATCTGCTGTAGTTTTGAAGTAGTAATAAGCTATGCGATGGGCACATCCAATAACATCCATGTGTCAAATCTTAAATGTCATCATTACCTCATGTATTGCTTTTGTGTTAGACTTCTTTTATTACCTCATGAGTTCTTGCTTATTTTATTTTATTATTTTTTTCCTCTCTTAGTCGTGATTGGCTGTGGCCAAATTTAATGAACTTTTTTCTCCAAACCTTGGACAACGTGCTGCACACCTCGGAGGAACCCTTTTGAGACTGTTAGACAAATATATCGCTCTTCCTCAGGGGTCCACGCTTCTCGATGTATAAACATAGGAGTGCTCTCTCTCACTCTGTACATGCTAACGCCGCAGATTGACAAGCAAGAACAAAAGAGCGGGAGCACAGTTTGTTTCACTTTCGTGGAGAGGAGAGGAAAAACACTCAGGTCCAATATGAGTTGGACGCCTACATTGGACATGTTGGACTTTTTGGGACAGCATTCTCGTCCCCGGGGAACTACCTCTCAGGTATCCAGGAGATTTCTTTGGATCATGTTCTCAAATTGAAGAACCAAGCTATCCAGCTAGCAACCATGGATGTATTCCTGGATTCATTTGTTTTTAATTGAAGAAATTCAGAGTTGCTCCTTTGCCAGTGCCATGGGCATTGATGGATGCTGTCTGGAGTTGCAATGTTACACTTTTTTTTCTCTAATTTTATCTGTGTGTGTGTGTGTGTGTGTGAATGGAGAGAAAAAACTGAATGAAATTAAGAATATATTTTTTTTAAGTATCAGTTGGGATTTATCCCAGTGAGGGCCATACCATGTGTAAGAAAACATGTATGTTTTTAACATTCATGGGTGTTTGTTCACTACAGACTCTGGTTGGACACCAGTCTCCAGATACCTCAGTCACTGTACGTCATGCAAGGAGAGCTCAGATGGTTGCCTTTGTCTACAAATGCAATGCCATAGTTGTACCATAACATGAGAAAAAACACCATACGTTGAATGTCCGTTATGCTGCTGTGACTATTCCAGGATACTCAAGGATATGTAGATGTACATGTATCTTTGTTAATATAACGCTAACATGTGATAACTATCCATGGTGATACGTGAGGCTATAATCTTGTTTTGTTTTTTTCTTTGTTTGTTTTATTTGTTTTCTATCCGAGTAAGCCCTCACCTGCTTACTCCTCCAGACTGACCTCAGATATTCTGACAAGTACCTCAGGCTTTTTTCTACATGTATATCAAGTTGTGTTTTTATTGTGTTTTAGTAGTCGAGATATTTTATTGCCAGTTTTGGCCTCTTTGTCTGTGGAGATACTTTTAAAATAGAACCTGACCAGTCGGGCGCAGTGTTAATGCTGTACAAACCTAAAAGAAGAGAGGCAGATATTTGTATATAGAGCTGCACACACAGTTGCAGGAACACTGAGCAGTTTTAATATGAAAAGAAAAAAGATCATCAGGGCATTACAGTTCTCAGAAATGGAAAGGGATTTTTTTTATGTTTTACTTCTACACATCGGGACAAGAAAAAAAAAAAGCCCTGTGGTTCCTAAATCTATTTTCAGGAATGGTTGCATAATGAATTTCTATGAATAATAGTGTCACTTCCTCTGGAGCGTAGCACTTGCGTCTGAATGCATCCTAATGACAGCAGCAACAGAGCAAGCTACAAAAACGAATCTCTAATGGTTCTAGGTGCATGACTTCTGCCACTGACCACTGGGGGGTCAGTTTGAACAGTATTACCTCAATATTAACCTGCTGATGTGATGGTCAGACTCGTTCACTGTTTAGCCACTGTGGACAACACATGGGCTAAACTGTTGTGCTTTGATTGGTGCTGTGGAAAGCTGGTATTGATTTTATTTTGTTTTTGGATAGTCGGCTGTAACGCTTGCTCCTGTGCAGTTTTAGTAAAGGATATATAGAATAAAGACATCCCAGAAAATTACAGAAAAATGTTTTATGTTTTGAAACTAATCGCAAACCACATGACGGACTGATTGTTTTTATATGCATCCCCATTAAGATGATGTGGTGTGGTCCAAGGGTCCAGCAATATTTATTATACAGCAATATTATTCTAATACCACAGTTGTCATTACATACATGTGTGACGTGGGCTGTTTTTATCCTGCAGATCAGTGGAAAATGTCATACCTGGTTCAGGTTCCAATTCCTGATGTAGGGCACATCTGTAGGTGTCCTCACTTTTTCTTTCTTTTTTTTCTGCAAACTGAACATGACCCAGGTGCTCGTATGTAATGTGCCAGAAAAAAGCGTGTTCATATTGGAAAAAAATCTGCTGTGATTGATGGCAAAGTCCACATGTTGTCTTACGCTCAGCTCCTCTGAACAGAAAACAAAATACTTACCTCATGCAGTACCTTATAACACTAGCAGTAACACTAACAGTCAGTCTCGTCTTCAAAAAGAAAAAAAAAGAGAAGCGTATCAGTTATTGTGTAAATATTTACTTGACAAATGTAAAGGGTACCTTCCTTTTCATGTGTGTATTCTGTGAACACAAAGCCTTTTTTATTTACTACATATTAATTTCTCTGAGTGTGAATGAATGGTGGACTGGATTTTGTGACTTTCCCTGTTTATGTGAAATGTGTGTGAGTGGATGATATGATGGTTAGTTTTACTAAAACAGTATGAAAGGAAGTTGTGAGTGGAAATGCCTAGAAATATAAACTAGATGAGAATACATCCCATCTTTTGTATAATAAAATACATACTGAATAATCTTGAAAATGCTGTTTTCTTTCTTCAAAGGTGCACACAGCAATTGTGCAAAACATTCCTTTAGTTTTTTTATTTCAGGATTATTTGCAGAATTAGTTAGAGGGACTAGGCTACATTTGTCCACTAGAGGGCAGCAATAATGTGGCGTTAGGATTGGCTTTTAATACCTTTTGTATGAAACAAAGTGGGTAATTGTCTTTATAATTGACGGTTATGTGGACAAACATTTACAGTTTTTGATCACTGTGAATTTACTGCCATAAGACTCAAAAACATTCAGTAATACAGAGTAATGGTTTATACATTAAGTTTAGACATTAGTTTCATTTACCATACTATTTTACCAATTTAATTTAATTTTGGAAGTGATTTGTTACTTATGTAACATTACAGCAGACACAAACAAACTTATTACAAGGCCAAAGAAAAGAAAAGAATGTAAATACATATCTAAATGCGTGTTAGTGTAAATATTCAGAGATAGTTATAAATACGTTTCAAGAGCTGCAAAAAGAATAAACAAACCAAATCGTGACTAACTTGACATATTTCTACTCCTAAAATAGCCAAAGACTGGCGTATAACCAACTGAAAACAATTAAATTCTGTTTTCACCATCTTGAATTTAATTACCAGTGTCTTATTAGTCACTGGATATTGTTCTCTTTTCTGTGGTATATTTACGGTAACAATCACGTTTTTATAACAAGACAGTAGACCTATTAAGTGTGATAATAAAACTGTTTTTTATTAATAACATGAACATCAGCGACTTATAGTCTCTGATATAGGCTGTGTTAGATATACGCTGTCAATATTTAAGATTTGATCAGTAGTTCATTTGTTTTTCGTAACATTGTTTGACGCGTATTTGGAAACAAAACCACAATCGCAAAAAACCCTAAATCTTTCGACACTGAAGGCATCACTGGTCTGACCAATCAAACGCGCCCTCGGAGTCACGTGTCATGCCAAATGGTAAATTAGGATTGACTTGAGAGTTACGAATAGTTGAGCTTGCTGATGTACAGTGACGCACAGCAGTAAAGGTTTTGCTTTTGTTGAAGTTTGGTTTTTTTTCAAGATAAATGTGTTCGTTTTTTTAACAGGCACTTTTAAGCAGAAGTTGTTTGGATCAACGGACATTATGTCAGAAAACCGTCGGGCGGGTAAGTACATGTGTATTTGTGACTGTGTGTCGGTTTTTAAGCTCTGCCAGCAAAGCAGTTATTTAACCAGCATAGCATCTCTCCTCGTCCGGAAGAAGTGTGGTCGTAGCTTCAGTGGTTTATTCTTTGTGAATGTGTTCTTAGCTTTTTGTGTTTCTAATTAGTTCATTTTTCACAACAGTCGTGTTTTACTGAGGATCTAAGACCGTGTTTTCACGCCTTTGCTGTACTTACACCTTTACATAGTGGTTCTCTACCATCTTTATTGAAGTACTCGTTTATCGTGAAGTATATAGCCAGAAAAAAAAAGCAGTATTAGTTGGAAAAACGATCATAAACGTTGCAGTTAGTCATCCGTTCATAATTTATTGACTTTTGTTACTGCATAATATTACTCATTCCTAGTGGTCTCTCGTGAACTAGATGTGAACGACTATACTACGTCTACATAAAAACTAGATTAATTCAAAACAAGGGTATATGCGTGGTTTCAAGTTGATATAGACGTTTTTAAAAATCGAGTTATAAAAATAGGAAAAGCCCATCATAAAATCCATTCTATTCTGTATGTACCTTTTAATAATTAAAAAAGATTTTTTTGAGAACCACTTTTAAGCTATGGTGATGAAATGTTATGTATACATTAATGATAAAAAAACAACTAATTTATGTGTCATTTTTAATAAGGCATTAGATTTGTTTTTCTTCTGAAGTAAATAATATAATGGCTATAATGTAACCAGGCATAGTATTTATTTAGCAATTGTTTCATATCTAACGTCTGCATGAATGTCAATAAGTAAAACTTAATAGACTTACTGAAAACAGGGAGGTAGATGATTTGTTTCAGCGTTATTATGGATGCGTTTGACTAGTCTCTGTTTTCATCCACGCTCTCTTTCAGACATCCACGGACCAGGGCTGTTTTCCCTGTAAACAGGGGCAGCTGCAGCACTGGCTGCTGGGATGCTACGGAAGAGCAGCAGCAGCAGTGGCATAAAGCACCCTCAGGGTCTGCCACGACCCCTATCCAAGGCTCTCACTGGATCTTTGTCATCGAAATCCACCAAAACCTTGGATATGGGCCGCAGCTCTAGGAACCCTAACCCTCTGACCAGCATGGGGCTGTTGTCTCGGCCAGTAGGGGCGCTGGGAATGGACCCTGAGTATGTGATGCAACTGGTGAATGATGTGAGGTGGTTTGCTGAAGTGCTGCTCAATCTGAAGGATGCTTTCCAGTACAAGGGTAAGTATAGTATGGAAGGAGCAGGGGGGTGGATAAGTTGATTTAAGAATATGTTTAAAAACTTCCTTTTAAGTACTTCTGCTTTAGCTGATGTTTTTTTATCAGACCCGGCTGAGAAACCTTAAGTAATTTAGTATTTTATTGAGGTAGGAAGTGAGGAAGCGAAAGGACCGAAATCCCAAGCCTGACGAAACTCTTCCCTTCTTCTGTTTGAATACGGGTTTCACATTAAGTCTCAGTGAAGTCATGGATGTCAAAACAGATGTTAATGACAGACACAGAGCCCCACTGCTCTCTCAGCACTTTAAAGGTCCTCCGGATAAATTGTCCAGAGAGGCTGTGTGTGTTTCTGTTATGTTACAGATAACAAGAGCCCAGTGCTGGACATTGTGATGGCCACCTGTGTTGTGTCAGTGTGAAGTGTGATAACGGCCTTGCTGCTTTAATGCTGCAGTGCTGGCAGCTGGGTCAAACAACCGGCTCTTGTTGACAAGCATCAACAATAACCACAAAATACTTGACTGATGTCGAAGCACTGTATGCAACTGTGTGTGTGTAGTTGCTGATTTAATCACGGCTGCTCATTTCTCTCGTGTTATAAAAGTTACATTATTATCTTTGTGTTAAACATGTATTTGAATGAAATAACCATTAAGTGGTTTACTTTACTTTTACTTTTTATTGATGTGTTGTCAATGGCTGAGTGATGTCAGACAAAGGCAGTCTTTGCTTTGTGTTTCATGTGGAGGTGAATGTTGCAACAACGGAGTAGTCAGTATGGAAATTTTCAAGTCTTGTCTCGGTATAAGCAGTGTACGCGGTGTCACCTTTTAGTCAAATTTCTTGGATTTTTCTGAGCTGTGGCAGCAGGTCATGCCACCACTCCCTAACCCTCTATGTCACTAACGTTATTCCACACTCATCATATAAACCCGACATTGCACCACAACTGTCCTTAGTGCTCCTAAACAATATTCTGTCACAGTTGATTCATTTTGTTTGCCACAGACCGTACAGTGATAAGGAAATCCTGGACAGCCCCATCATCAAACTGAAACTTACTTCAGCACTTATACCTAATGAGCCAAGCCGTTGAATACTACGAGGTGTCTAGCTCATGGACTCTATTATTAACTAATAATAGTCAACCAGCTTGTGTCGAGTGTATTAAGTTCTATTTTAATTTCTCTGCACTTCCCTGGCTTAACAGCAAGGCAATATAATTTTTACATCATGTCGTAGAGTAAAAATTCCCAAAGGTAAAATAGATTGTGTTTATTTCATCGAGTCGCACTAAACGTCTGGTGGTGGGAGTTGGTTGTTTAGCCATTCCTCTGCCTGTAGGAGTGAGGCCTCTGGGAGGTAAGCTAGGCCTTGTGTCGTGCTGAGTGTTGTTCTGAGCCATCACAAAAAAATCTGAGCTATTTACCTCCCCTTTTTACAGCGTCACTCATTCAGCAGGTGGGAATGAAATCATAGCACACGACTGTATAATGTCAATCATCTTTTGTCCGATGTGGTTGATGGCATTTGCTGTTTTGTTTCCTTTCTGCAGACAATAACCTGAGAGATCTTGTGGAATAAGTTTGTGCAAGATGCAGCTACTTTGTTGCCGAAGTCGTTTCAATTACAATTTAGCAACAAAGAAATTCTTCAACTTGTCTGTGCTGTCATTAGCAAATGTTGGGTTCATTTTTAAACAGGATCTTTATTTAGAGCTCTGAACTTTTTGTTCTCACGTGTCCTAGTTGTCAGTGATCATTCTGTCTGAGAGGCTTTAAATAGAATACATCAGTCTATATATGAAATATAACTGGAAAAGAAAGACAAATAACAGCAGATAGATGTTTCTGTTGTAAAGACAAATATCAAGAAAAATCTCCAAAAAACGTTTTTTCCTTGTAAAACGTGTCGGGATTTCTTTTTCTTGTCCTCAGTTATATTAATCAGTCTACAGCTGGTGTCAGTAGACCTAAATACTGGTCTGCACTCAGTGAGGCTGGTCTGACACAAGGCAGGTGTCTGACCTAAAGGTGAAGCCCACACTAATGCATGTTGAGTGTCAAGTAGGTATTTTCTAGAAGGTGCTTTTGGTTAAACCAAAAATTTTTCTCGCAGGATGTGTAAATGACAACATGTGTATTGGCTGTGCATTAGAGCAAGGACAGTACGTGGATGGACAGTAGAAGTATTGGATATACAGTACAGTCTGTGTAATTCCGCGCATACCTTAAAGTGTTGACATTATTAATTAATTAAATAGTTAATGCAACTACACTTATTAATTTTGCCACAAAAAACATAAATTCAAGATACGTTTTGTTTTTTGTTGTTGTTATTTAAACATTCAGGCTGCGAATCCTACACCCAGTCGTTTTCTGCTTCAGAAAAGGGTCTGTTAAAATAACATAACAGACGAGAGACGTGTGGTTTTACTTCCTGTAGTGTTAAGAAGTTGTTTTTGTGTAATAACAGCATGTGTTAAGCTAATACAGATCCCTGGTTTGTGGACAACAGTGTGGCCTGTGATGGGGTGAGGTCTGATACTGGAGCACTGTGTGAAACTGACGACTGAGATTTGACGGACTTGTGTTCCTCCTGCAGCGGAGCAGGTCATTACGACTGAGATTTGACGGGCTTGTGTTCCTCCTGCAGCGGAGCAGGTCTGACTCAGTGAGTCACATACCTACTGGTACAGACACAACTCTGTGGATGGTTTTGCTTGGAAGATGATATTGTTCCTTTCCTGGTTAGCTGCCAGTGCTTGGCTGCAGGCAGTGCATGCCTATAGCACATTTAGTTAAAGAAGGCCTGTTTGGATTGCATTCAGTGGACCCACTTCACTTATACTCGCACTCACACAAACAAGTGAAGTACAAGTATAAATTCAGCAGGTTCTGGACTGCACTGTGGTTGTGGTCTAACAATAGTTAGGCTGTCAAAGAATGTTTTCCTGCGAAAAGGATGTGAGGCCACGTGAACTGTACGGAGGAAGATGACCTTCACCCTCACCCACCCGACATGTGGCCCAAACTCATGCATTTTATCATCTCACTACTGTAAAAATAAAAATTTGCTGTTTATAAGAACATTATAAACAGATATTCTTGTACAAGTAATGGTACAAGTATCATGGTTTTACAGCAGTAAAAGTCAATTTTATAAATAAAAAAATATACAGTATATATATATATATATATGTCTGTTTTTTTCATGTATTTTTCTTATTAGTCTGTTTTACTGAAACCAACTCACCAGGTGTGTTTTAATGGGGATAAAAATAGTCATCCACACATGGCTGAGCTGCTGTCCCACTTCCATCCCCCATCTCCGCTGCATACTCTGCATTCCTTTAGAACAAATGTTCACTTGTAGCTATATTGCCTTCCACAGGCTAATGTTAGGTGAAAGGCCGGTTAGGTGAAGATCTACAGTCAAATTAACTACCGGAATTACTAGCTGCTCAAAGCTGTTGAAAATTTCAGGGAAGGAAATTCTCAGAAAGAATTTCTTGTTTTCAGGAACTGTTGCACGAGATCATTTTTTATCTTGTATCTTGGTGTTCACACAG